CCTAGACCTTCCAGTCAGGCTGGTATGACACGAGTTACAGGTATCCTATCCCAACCAATCATGGAAGACAGTTAGCCATAGCACAGAAAGAATTGCAAATTTTTGCTGTCACTGAGATTTGAACTCTAGACCTGCCACTTGGGGGTTGACAACCTATCCACTTCACTAGGTCGCCACACCTGTATATAGCAATTTATGGTAGTAATATAAGGATATATTTTATAATAAACTTAATTTAATATTCGTATTTACAAGCTTGTATTTAAAATTTTATAAACACAATTCAAATAAAGAATTTTTAATTAGTAAATTGCAAATTAATTATTTTCTTTTTTTTCATATAGACCTATTGCAAAATCAGTTGCAAGTAGCTCTCTCGAGTCTTACTTTTGTCAGAAGGATAATAATGGTCATAATAAAAATACGCTTAGTTTATCTCAAAAAAGAGGTTCTAAAAATAAAAGAAAAAACAGATTCATACTAGAAGAGCAAGTCCATTTTCAAGATACAATTTTGGACAAGCCTTACTATAAGGTAAAGATTGTTAAAGTTATTAGTAAAAGAAAGGTTATTATAAACATTACTTTTGAAAGCAATAATATGAATCAATATATAGTTCAATTAACTAACATAATTGGGTATGCTAATGAACAAGTAAAAAAAAAATGAAGGTAATAGATTATTATGTAAGTATTGCCAAGAGAAAACCTATAAATCTTATTAGATAAGATTTGTGAGTTTTTTCTTGTCGGCACTTATGTGTATTTTTTTTTTTTTTAGTTTAGATAAATAAGCAAATTGTCTTTATAGTTATTTAAAGATTCTCACAGAAATGTCATTGTTTATACAATGCCATAGAAGGGAAGAAAGATGAACTACACTTAACTTCTACATGTCCAGTAGATACAAGTCTTATACTTATTCAAAGTGCTTTTACTCAGCAAAATATTTATAGTCAAGCAGCAGCTTTTGCTATAGCTGATCTCACTTCATGTACACATCTTATAATCAAAATTTTTGACCAAATGAAGCAGAAGCAATAGGTAGAGGCCAAAATTCTTTGGGTCAAAAGTTTACTATCATATAATAAGTTAGAAACAAGATGTGTAAGCTTATTTGAAGATCTTTCAGAGCTATTTTTTAAACAATTTTTTCATGATTCCTTGAACTGAAATCTTCTCATTGTCAAAAGCACTGTAACAACTATATGTGATTCAGATTACTGCTCTAAAAAAATCTTGCCACCAGATAACTTTTATGACATCATACTTATATAAGTGATAGTTTTTTATAATATTAAAAAATAAATATAAATTTTTTCTTTTTTTTAAAAAACCACAAGTGCCAGTATTATCAGGAAGAGGTAACTATTTTGAAGCTTATTTAAAACATTGGCAAGAGCCTTGTATTGTATCTTGTAGATCAGTATTTGTAACTATGAATGAGAAGAAACCAAAAAACGTTCCTGTGAATGTCTTTAAGAATGATAAATATACATCAGTAGAAAGCAGAAAAATCAAGTGAGTAATTTATTTACTAGTGATACCCAAACTCAGTAATTTGGAATAGAATTCCAAAATTGTCTAAACTATACTGTATTTGGGATGATTATTCTAAACTTTTCAATTGTACATATCAGTATGATTAAGGGAATATCGATATTGTTACATACTGTATGTATGTAGTAAATTACATATTATCTGTTATTATCATTATATGTATGAACTGGAATTAACATTAAGGATATGTTTCACATTAGATAGAATGTCCAATACAGATTTGAGTAATATTATTTACCCTTTACATATATTAAAAATATTTTTAGGCATTTGTACTTATGTACAGATAAAGCTACTTCGATAAGACAAATTGACCAATGACTACCTTTGATTCTTGTGATAAATGTTGCAGGAATTAATATTACTGATGAGGGTTTCTTTCTTAAAAGTAAAGACCTTCTGAAAGAAATTAGTTTTCTTTCGGAAAACACATATATAAAACAAAGGTAAATCTTAATTTTGATCTGCTTACATACTAATTTATGATATAGGCTTTACTTTGTTTTCTTTTTTTTAATAAATACTGTCTTATAGGGGCTTCTTTTTGTGATAGTAATTATTATATTGCTGATGTTCACTTTGAAAATATCAAAAATGTAGGATGGTATTAGTATGATGGTTTGGAAAAAACCTATTGTGCAAGAGCAATATATATGAAAGTTTGCACCCATCTTACAAAAATGGCTATAATATAAATTTCGCAATTTATGTAAAAGATTTGATAAAATTTTATTTGTCTAAAAAATTTTTTTACAAAATTAATTATTTAGATAGTGAATTTCACTTAATGAATAATTTTTTAGTTTTAATAAAATGAATAGAGAATTAATATCTCTAAATTTAGCTTGCTAATTTTTATTATTCTATCAATTAATTAGTTTTTTTTTAAAAAAAAAAATTATGCAATATAACTCTTATTAATTCACCAATATATACTTTATTTCAAAATTTTTATTAATATATATATTAAGCAATTCAAGTTCAATCAAATAAATATTTAATATACTAAACTGAATATTATGTCTTATAACTTGTAAAAAACATATGCTGCCAAATCCGCTTATCAATAAACTTCATCACATGCATTGACTTTGTCATGTGATATATATATTGTATCTAATTGAATATTCATTTAATATCAGATATTTGGTCACAGATAATCAATATTCATTCAATGCTATTCATGAATATCTGAAACTTGACTGAATAGCTATGATGTATATTTAAAGGACCTGACCTCTAATCAGAAGATTAGAAAGTCAAATTACATAACAGATGTTTTTATTAGAGTCCAATAAGCAGAATACAAAAAGCATACTTATGGGCGCAAAGGCATGCCTCAATCCAAAACATGCCCTCGAAGGCATACCTATTTTTTTTTTTTTTACCTATACCTTGAACCCTACCTGCAAACATTTCAAACGTGCAATTTTTTTAGTATAATATGCCACTAATCTTATCACTAATTCAACCAAGATGGCACATTTTTTTTTTTTTTTTTTTTTTTTATAACATATAAGCAGTCACGCTAGTACTTTATTAGGTTTTTGAAATTACATTTGTAACAACATAAATATCTCTAATATTTAAGTCTAGCATCACCCGGCCACCTTATTGGTACCTAAGTGCAACCTGCCGCATTACTTCAAACAGAAGTAAGCTGCTCGTCTGACTACTTAAAGTCCATAATGAAAGGGTCTTCTCCCTTTCATGACAAGCCCCAACATTGTTTTTGTTACTTCCTTCTCAACTTGCTTCTTTTTTTCTCTTGTTTCTTCTTTTTTCTCTTCTCTTTTTTTCTGATTTGCCTTTTCTCGTTTTTTCAGTCATTTTAAATTTCCATCTTTTTCCTTTTAGTTCTACCTGTTATTCCATTCTTTCCCTTCTATTCAATAATTTTTTCATAACGTATCCTCTATACTTGTTTGTAAAATGTGTTCCAGGCCGTTATTGCTATTGTATTTGCAAACTGCTGTCTTGATTTTGTATTTAGTAGCTTTGCTAGTTCGTCTTGCGTTTCTTTTGGAATTAAGCCTTTTATTAGTGCTTCTCTTATTTTAACTTCTTCTGCCTCTGTTTTTTCAAAAAGTGCTGTATATAACACATATGGGGGAATTTGATTCTTTTCGTCTTCCTTTAACTTCTTCCATGCTGTTGCAATGGTTACTTTTTGGATTCTCTTCCAGAGATTTCTTTGCCCTTTACACGCTGCCAGGTGTGCTTGTGTCTCTTTTACTTTATCTTGGCATACTTGGCATTCT